ATATATAGAATGACATGTTCTTATTTAAATTAGCAACATATGATCGATCATATATATACAAATAAACTAATAAAAACACAATTATATAACCACCTTTGAAATAATCTAGCCACAAATCCACAACAGGTACTCCAAAATCAACATTTGTCTGTTGACGGTTCTTAACTCAAATGATCAAATTGTTAAAAGATAATAAACAACAACATCTCATAATGCATCGTAGCAAGATAGACCTTAACTTGACAGGTTCTAAAAACGGATTTAAATAGTAATTCAAATATTCAGTGTTGGAAAATAATCTCAATGCTGAGATAAAGTGTACCATTGTGAAGAGCTCGTCAAGATAATCAAAATAGATATATTATTTATATATTTTAGAGCTAGAATGAAAAAGATATTAAAATTTGAAATTAATAAAAAAGCATCCAAAGTCAATCAACAACAAAAACATAAAGCACGGAGCCTGGCAGGCAAGTACTATATGCATGCACACAGCATGCTCAAACACGCTAGGCTGGCAGGCGGCAGTACCAAAAAGGCCCAGGCCCCGCGCCAGTTGCTAACGCGGAATACCAGGACGAAGCAGCACGCGCACAGAGGCGTAATTTTAGAAAAACTCAAAAACTCACATGTTCATATAGAACCGGCCGGTTCACCGGTTCCGTAAAAAACCGGCCAGTTCAACCGGTTTTTAACGGTTCAATTACACAGACGGTCTTTTAAGTGAATCGGACCGATCAGGCTCCGATTCGGTCTTTTAACGGTCGAACCGCCGGTCCGGTCCGATCGTAGTAACTGGCTATTGGAGTCTGGAGTAGGTAGTGGCCAGTGAGTAGTAACCCGTTCATTTCAAAAAATAAATACTACACGTCTCGCTCTCATCCCTGACTGAGGGCATTTTCCTCGGAGGAAGAAGATATTCAGGCCTTGTTTAGATTGTAAGTTTTTTTACTCTCTTTCCATTACATCAAATCTTTGGACATATGCATAGAGTATTAAATGTAGATAAAAAAATAACTAATTACACAGTTTGATTGTAAATTACGAGATAAATCTTTTGAGTCTAGTTAGGCCATGATTGGACAATAATTGTCAAATACAAATAAAAATACTACAGTGTTAAATACTGATTCATAACCCTGAACTAAACAAGTCCTCAATGTGGATATTGTCCTTGGACAAACGTCAACGGAAGCCCTTGGCCCCCGTGCTGGTGCTGACGTGCGGGATATTTGATACCTGCGACTTTGTACCGACGGCCGACGTACGCGTTCGCCGGTTCGCGGTCGCGAACCGCGGACGGCTCACCAACAGGCTTACATTACAGGCCCAACAGGCCAACAAAGGCCGGTAAGCCGAAAGAAAGCCGAGGCCCGTGCCGAGCGATAGGGAGATTGATCATTGAACGCCGGGGCGCCCCTGACGGAGGCCGCCTAGCTCGTATCGGACTATCGGTTGATTGATCATTGATGGCAACCTCCATTATTCCGCCATCAACCAGTGGTGAACTTGGCAAATGTTCGCTGGCTGGTTATTACAGCGCTGTGAGTCAGCAATTCTACACTAATTTCTCCTCACAGCAGCAGCCGCAAGCGCAACAGCCGTGACAGCGCAGGGCTGATGAGCAGCCGCCACACGTTCTGGCAAGCACCGTGCGGGGCAGTTACAATTGCAATAATGAGAGATTGACTGACCATGACACTGACAGAGCAGCAACGACTTTAGCAGGCCGTCCAGCCCGCCAGCCGCCGCGAATCTAGGATTTTATCTCGAGGTACGTCATCTAAAAATTTTCTATATAATTTGGCAAATCATTTAGCAATTTAATAACGATAGTAAAATTGGCAACATAATTCGACAATAATAGTTAAATTTGGAACATAATTTGGTAATATTAATTCAGTAGCAGTGGTAAAACTTGCAACGTAGGAATGACTCAATGTTGTTAGCAATTAAAGTAGACAAGATTTTTCTACATGAAAAAGAAGAGAAAAGGGCAAAGACTGAATTACGTCTTGGTGTCTTATACAGTCGCATTTGCTTGTTAGCCATGCACGCGCAGCTAGCAGGCAACAACCGAGCTCCCTAGCTCTAAACTTGCGGTAGATGAATGGATGAGGGCAGATGGTGCATTGAATTTTAGAAGCCAAGGCGACACCGCGCTAGTTGTCAGGACTTGCCAAGGCGTCACTACCACGGACACTGGGTCCTGATCTCCCATCCGTAAACTCTGGCGCATGGCCTGGATACCTGCGACTTTGAAAAGACGTACGCGTTCGCCGGTTCGCGGTCGCGAAAGGCGGAAAACCAACAGGCTTACATTTGGCAAGGCCCAACAGGCCAGCATTGCGTTCCGGTAAGCCGAAAGAAAGCCGAGGCCCGTGCCGAGCGATTTGAGTTCTCGGACCGCCTACTGTATCGGACTATCGTGTTCTTTGATGACAACCTCGATTTTTCCGATTTGGTGATATATACTCAAATACATGCTAGATCTGCGCTAGGTCATCAATTCTAGGTGCATTTTACAATCTGATACTTTGTGATCATGTAGCCTACACCAATTTCGCCGCCAATGCATCTAAAAATCACGATGTAATGAAGAAAGAGCGAATCTAGGATTTTATGTCGATAGGCAGCAGCCGCGCAACAGCCGTGACAGCGCAGGGCTGATGAGCATTTTAAATTTTTTTATATAATTTGGCAAATCATTTAGCAATTTGATAACGGTAGTAAAATTGGCAACGTAATTCGACAATAATAGTTAAATTTGGAACATAATTTGGTAACAGTAATTCACTAGCAGTGGTAAAACTTACAACGTAGGGATGACTCAACGTTGTTAGCAATGAAAGTAGACAAGATTTTTCTACATGAAAAAGAAGAAAAGGGCAAAGACTGAATTACGTCTTGGTGTCTCATACAGTCGCATTTGCTTGTTAGCCATGCACGCGCAGCTAGCAGGCAACAACCGAGCTCCCTAGCTCTAAACTTACGGTAGATGAATGGATAAGGGCAGATGGTGCATTGGATTCTAGAAGCCAAGGCGTCACTGCGCTAGTTGTCAGGACTTGCCAAGGCGTCACCACGACAGGACCTGGGGTCCTGGATCTCCCATCCGTGTAACTCTAGGCGCATGGCCCTGGACTCTGGAGAAAAGCAGGAAAGTTGCAAAGGCCATCTTGGCAAGGCTAGGCTGCTAGCATTGCGTTCGTTTTCAGCTCTCCCCTACAGGTAAGTGTTCTTTTGTTTTTTTTTCGAATTTAGTATATATACTCCAATACATGCTTTGGATCTGCAGGATATGCCAGTGCATACCTAGCATACCCTGTAGCTCGGCCCCTGCCGTCAGCAAACGGACAAGACCGTACATAGCGTAGCCTAGACTTTGAACGTGTCTCACTCTCAATGTACCACCTGTTTGCAACGGAGCAAAACAATCGTGTCGTGTGTATTAATGAATTTATCACCGTCCCCGGTAACAGTTTGCCAGCTTGGGTTTGGCAACGATGACTGGGTACTTCAACAGAATTAGACAGAGGTAGCTTCTGTTTGGTTGTATGATTTATCAGTTCGCAGAAGATCCTCTCACTTTTTGTTTCTCCCAATTGCTGCTGCTTTATTATGAAATCTATATTGGCCCCTTCTCTAGCAACGAAACTTACAAGATCTTTTGCACACCTGCAGTCTATAATTTCCAGTAGCAGGCAGCCGCCTAGGCCATACAGCACTTTTAACGTGTCGGACGACTGTACGTAGGATGAAGGGAAAGGGAAACATGCGTGCACGTCAGCACGTGTAATAACCAACCTCAGGTACAGTGGCGTTCGAAAGGTTAACTCGGTGATTCATATCAAATCGGCAAAGGTATAAAGGTAAAATCTTTATTTGGTGCAGACATGGACATGCACATATATATATATATATATATATATATATATATATATATATATATATGGACCTCCAATTTTTTGGTGTCCAAAAAAAAAAATACTATATATTATTTTGGCGGTCCCACCTGGTGACCAAGCATCCTATTCGGCTTATCCAGAAACCGGCTTGTTCGACTTATTTTTTCAGCCGAAACAGTATTTTTTTCTCACAATAATTTAGCCAGAACAATGTCAGACTAGCCAAAATGCTTTGGTAACAAATTCCAAAATAACTGTCCTCATTCAGTCACCCTCCCTCCAAAATAACTACTTAAATAAAACAAAAGAAAACAAAAAGGTTCCCTTCTCTCTCCTACACATGTACGGTCCACAATCCCACATCCACTCTCTAGTCTCACCAACCAAACCCAAACCAGAAGACAATGAAATAAAAAATTCAGTCAAGAGAAAACAAACCCTCAAGCCCCTAAACCCCATTATTCCATTTTATGAGCCCATCCCCACTGGCTTGATGAGTTGAGTAACTGGTTTCTCCGATTCTAAATCTAAACACCTCAACACCAAATCCGATGGGGCCCATCTTAGGTATAAAAAACAATTAGGGTTCAAAAGGGACAAAAATGTTGAGAGGAACAGTGGAAAAGGATTTATATTACACATGAAAAAAAGATTTTCAAAATCCACCAAAAATCTCCCAATTTTCTCCTCCTCCTATATTAAACTCCCCCAACCCCCTCCTCCTCCAGTCGTCCCCGTCCCTCCACTCCCCCCGCCGAGCACTTGGCACTGCCAATGGCGGCTCCCGCCCATACCCCTTCGATGCGCGCAAGCCACCTCCTTTCCTCGTGAGATCGACGCACCTCCTCCTCTCGTGCTCCATTCCCTCTCCTCGTTCGTTTCTTCGGCCCCGAGCCAGCCATCGCGCGGTCGCCCCCCGCATCTCGTCGTGCTCCCACCCAGGTCCTTGGCCTCCGCCGTTCATGGACAGGGGCGCGCCCCCGGTGCCCACTCCGCGAAATCCGACTCCTTCGTGCGGCTCCGTACGGTGGGAGAGATCCATCAGGCAGTGAGCGGGAGGGGCGGCGGTCCACACAACCGCGGGGACGGGCAATGGCGGCCGTGGCAGGCCCACTCTGCACGTGGCTCGTCGCCGCGTGCTTGTCTGCGGCATGCGACGCCGAAGAGTCCAAGCAGAAGCATTGCTGCCCCGCCGGAAGCGGCGTTGGGGGCGGCGTCATGCTCGGCCAGCGCCGCCGCCTCGGCGCGCGGCGTCGCGGCTTGGCGCGCTCTGGTGAGACGAGATACACTCAGCATTTTGTTGTCTCATGTCCTTTGTTCGCTTTGTTGGATCCTTGCATGCACATACGTGCGAATCCTAGTGTAGTTTCTCAGCATCGGTAGTATCGCCCAGGGTAAATGTGCGATTTTTATCCTGTTTCGGGCGTCATACTCTGCGTTTGCGGTGCGTAATGCGTCTGCAGGTCGAGGATTATTCTCTGGATTGTGCTGAGGATCTTGTATAGTGACTAGTAGTAGTTTAGTCCGCGTGGATTTTAGGTTCCCCTGCTTCTGCTTGGGATGCATTCGCTTCTGACTGCTGCTGAATTGGTGTCTTCAACATCATTTTCTTTCAAGTTTGACTTGAGAATCCAGATAGAATCGGTTTTTCTCATTGCTAATATAAAATATTAACGGTGTGTTTGGAAGACTCCAAAACGCTCAAAATAAATCAAAGAGTTAGGGGTCACATTTGTCATGGTCCATCTTGCATCAAGCAAACAATTTATTTAGTTTTGTCCAGTGTGCATGTTTGTTCAGACCTCTTCAGTCTGCATTTTGTTTGTCACTCAAGCTGACAAGGGTCTCAACAAATTGGTTGTGGTTTGCAGGAATGGCTATGGCTGTTGCCTTACAAGCTGAAAGAAGTGTCGTTGAAAAGAAGAAACCCGATATCAAACAAAGGAGGGTGGTTGTCACTGGCATGGGTGTAGTGACACCATTGGGCCATGATCCTGACGTGTTTTACAACAATCTTCTTGATGGTGTTAGCGGAATAAGTGAGATTGAGAGGTTTGACTGTTCCAACTTCCCCACGGTAATACAGAGAACATGATTTCCTTCAATCTTTCCGGGGGTGGTGCTTGGGCTGGTTTTGCAATTTGGTCAAATGTTACCATGCAGTTATTGATATTTGGACTTTAATACAGAGAATTGCAGGAGAGATAAAATCTTTTTCTACTGATGGTTGGGTTGCACCTAAACTTGCAAAGCGGATGGACAAGTTTATGCTATATCTAATAACTGCTGGAAAGAAGGCATTAGAAAATGGTGGACTCACCGAAGAACTGAGGAATGAGTTGGACAAAACCAGGTGTGGGGTTCTCATTGGTTCTGCAATGGGCGGCATGAAGGTTTGTATTCTCACAGTATACTAATATTTAGTTGTATATCTCGATGAATTACAACTATCCATGAAACCTGTTTCCCTTGTCCTGATACAAGTTATGATGGACTGTCAAGCAGGTTTTTAATGATGCAATTGAAGCACTGAGGGTCTCTTACAAGAAAATGAACCCATTTTGTGTTCCTTTTGCAACTACGAATATGGGCTCTGCAATCCTTGCAATGGATCTGGTGACATGACCTGATTCTTTTTTGTAATTTTCTATTTATATAACAGTGATTACCACAGCTCATACTTTCTGTGACTTACAGGGATGGATGGGACCAAACTATTCTATTTCCACAGCTTGTGCTACCAGTAACTTCTGTATCCTTAATGCAGCAAACCACATCAGAAGAGGCGAAGCGGTAAGTAACTTCAACCTTCCATGTTCTCTTTGAAAAGTAACTTTTTATTTACGACCTTATTCACAATCTTTCAGGACATTATGCTCTGTGGTGGTTCTGATGCACCTCTTATCCCAATCGGTTTGTGGCCCCAATTCCTTGTTCTTCTGCCTCCAGTTTTCCACAGTTCGTCTTGGTCTTTGCAGTTTCAAGTGTTTTGACCATGACATGCAGGATTGGGAGGTTTTGTGGCCTGCAGAGCACTTTCACAGAGGAACAGCGACCCAACGAAAGCTTCTCGGCCTTGGGACATGGTTAGTATCTTTTATTGTGCAACCCCTATTATGACAATTGACAGCATTTTGCTGGATAAGTTATTATCATCATCTAGTACAAGCACATCAGCACCTTGTTGGTTTAATTAACTTACCAGCTTGGTCCATTTGTTGTGCTAGAGTGAGATATTTGATCTTTATGTTACAGGGCCGTGATGGTTTTGTTATGGGGGAAGGGGCTGGTGTCCTTGTATTGGAAGAACTTGAGCACGCCAAGGTTTTAAACATGCAATTTCAGTTGCCCCTATTTATAGATCTTTCAGCTGCTTGTTTCCAGTTCAGTGGCTTGTGATTATGGTCAAACATTACTGCCTCCTGAGATCTGTGCACCTTCTCCAGGAAAGAGGTGCAACAATATATGCTGAATTTCTTGGTGGAAGCTTCACATGTGATGCTTACCACATGACTGAGCCACATCCTGAAGGTGAAGTGTATATCTTGAGTCTGCCATGCCCTTTCCTGTTCTTTTCCTCACTTGTCTTCACTAATTAAATATCAGGAAGAGGGATTACTCTCTGCATCGAAAAGGCACTAGCTGATGCAGGGGTAGCAAGGGAAGAAATCAACTACGTGAATGCCCATGCAACGTCTACACAAGCAGGTGACTTGAAGGAGTACGAGGCTATCGTGCGCTGTTTTCGCCAGAACCCTCAAGTATGCCACCTGATGCAAGCAATCCTACAGCAAATTTATATTGCAAACCATCATATTGTGAACCATCTAAATCCCTTTTTTTCTGTTATGAAGCTGAGGGTGAACTCGACCAAATCAATGACTGGGCATCTTATAGGAGCAGCTGGTGGAATAGAAGCAGTTGCTTCTGTACAAGTAAGGAATTCTTAGTACCCTTACAGGGAACATATTTACTTGGCATTATTCTATTAATAATACAAAAATTACTTCACTGAATATGAACTATGCATTTATAGCATTGAATTCTTCATGTTCATTGTATCTTTCTGTATGTCCAATATAGTGAATTTCCAGTGCAATTAGTAATTTAGTGGAAGACATGAACTCTGTAACTGAAAAATTCAGCACATAACCTATTACTTTTCTTTTGAAAAATAATCACATCACACAGTATTACCCTTCAATGTCCCACTGAAATATTTGCTGAACATAGTGGCACTGAAGCTAAGTTATTCTAAAATGAAATTTAGCTACATCTGCCTTTTTTCTAGATTATGTTGTGGTCGTCTGGCTGAAATTATTTACAGATACATATATCTTTTTCTTTCTTTCATTTATTTATCTTCAAGCAACAGATTTTGCATCACGCAGTTTCCTGGAAGATTAATAGGCACTTTTTGTTTGGATGTAACTCCAATTATCCTCGCAAAATAAAAACTCCAATTATCCTAGACCAAGTATAGTCAATATGATATTGCAGACACCAGACAGTTATTCTTTTGCAATGAACATTGGCATTTGGGTTTCATTCTCATGTAGCCATGAACTATCTCATTCTTTGTTACATTTACCACAACCCTCGCTGCTTTGGGCGTTTTTTTTTTTTTTTTTGGGGGGGGGGGAGGGACAGGCGTTTTGGCTTCAATCAGCATGAATTGAAATCATACCAGAGCATGTGTTTTGCTATCAGTTTCAATGCAAAACCGGCTCATCATGGGAAATTCTTCTTCGTTGTTCATTGCAGGCTATAAGAACTGGTTGGGTCCATCCAAATTTGAATTTAGAAAATCCTGAGGACACCGTGGTAAGCTCCTTTAGTGATGCATGATTTAATTTCATTTTTATCTTCTTTCTACTTCTACTAAATAAGCTAGATATGCATGAAAGAGCAAAATCTATATGTTGAATGGTATTTTAATGCTGATCTTGATACAGGATGTGGGCGTCTTGGTAGGATCACAGAAGGAAAGATGTGAAGTGAAGGTGGCGTTATCCAACTCATTCGGATTTGGTGGGCACAACTCATCAATTCTCTTTGCCCCCTTTAAGTGAACATGACCGACGAATTGCCATCTTCATCGTCGTCCAAATGGCTTCATATATCTGGAACTCCACATAGAAGACATACTATGCAACTTCCTCCGTGCCACACATACTACATATGGAGGTCCACACCGAGGGTATAATACTATGCCATACACATTTGAGCGAACAAAACATCAGCCCCCCTACATGTTTCATCTATATCACAAAGTTGCAAATATATGGTAACTATCAAAGGACTTACCGTACCTGGGCCAGTGTTTTCGCCTTCACCATATATACCTGCCCATTGTCAGTACTATTTCCAAGATTTGGAGTAGTCCCGTAGCTAATCCTCTTCCCTGCGGAGGTGATGGGATTTTATGTTGTATTGATGTTGTCAACAATATCGTTATTAGCCATGAATTGCTGGTTCCACTGTAAACATCGCTGGACGTTTTCACTTTGGTTGCTTTGCTTTTCTGCTGTCCGAACTGAGTTATTAAAGATTTGTAAATGACCACGCTGTTCGGCCTTTAGTCATCTGTGTACCACGAGCGGATGAGCTTGCCCCCGGGAGCAGCAAGGACAGCTAGCCTGGCAGTACGCATAGTGCGTTTGAACTTTGAAGCCAGGCTGCTGCTCTGAGAGTTTACTGTTGCCGAGCTGAGCTGCTGCCTGCCTGATCATTATGCTGTGGCTTGTCGTAAACAATCGTAAATTTCTAGCCGGAACAATATTTTTTCACACAAATTAGCTTAGTAGTACTTTTTCACGAACCAGCAACGATACAAACCAGTCAACCGAACAGACTTGTCGGATACCACAAGAAGAGGTACCATAAGCAAGAACCAAGAATGTTGCTTAAACCTTGCAAAAATCAAAGCCAAAAGACTACCGCCAGGTCTCTGCAGAATTCTCCGATTCGTTCGAGACCTTGCGCCGAGGCCTCATATGAAAGGCCAAAAGCACCCCGCCGAGACCCTCTCGCCGAGGCCTCGCCCCGAAAGGCCTCGGATGGGATGCCAAATTTTCCGATTCGCTCGAGGCCGGGCTCGGCAAACATACTCGTAACCTCCGTCCCGACCAAACTCCTCTGACAAAACGTCACGTTCAGATTAATGCGCCCAACTACTCCCGCAAACGTCAGCCGCTTTTCAGTACAAGGTGATCTGGGCGAAACGACCGACGGAGACGGGGACCGGGCGCAATAGGGTTACCCGCCATCGTGCTCATCATCATGCTACCTAACCCCGCCCAAGGACAAAGCAACATGGAAGGTCAAGTCCATGTCCCTGTAGTCTCGGAAACCGCAGGAGAGCCCAACTGCTCGTTCTACGCCTCGTCCGAGACCCCCCGGCAGGGTCTCAGACGTACTATTCCTTCTCCGCTTCGGCCGAGGCTGGGCTCGTCCCGCATCCTCGTCGTCTCCGCCTCAACTACCCCTCTGGCGGGTCGTCCCATCCGTGTAAGTACCCCTGGTTGCGCCTACGTCAGCCACAATTGGCAGGGCATAGCAACAGGGGCGATGGGACGGCGATCAAATCTCTTTTTTACCATTCCCCACTGACGGTGCAGGGACTACCGTGCTTTGCGGACACGCCCTGCACTTTTCCACCTAAACCGGGTACGACGCTGACCACCGAGACCGCCGCATCGTACTCAGGTCACCTCCCAGGCCTCGGCAAATCAGGCCTCGGCGCGGTCGACCACAAACACCTGCCAGGCCTCGGCGAACCACCAAGTCAAAAATTCACAAGGCGCAGCATGTCACCTACAGAGGAGGCCATGCTGACTAAACGTCAACGAGGACCCCTACGACTTCAACAGCCTCAGGCATGGCCGGCTTGACGCAACAGTGATTAAGTACCAATTGCCATTCCGACCTTTGTCTTTGCTTTCACGAGAATAGGCCACAATCTCGGATCTTCCTTCCTCGCTAAGGCTCCACGTGTAGCTTTCTCATGTACTCCTGGCTCCCTCCTTGTGGCTATAAAAGGAAGCAGCCATGGCCGTTTCTATGGATCGAGACCACGCCGGCCCTCACGCACAAAACACACTCACTCAATTCACGCACGCTCCCACGCTGTTTGAGAGCAACGACTCAAGCAGCCCGCACCACTCCACGCCGAGACCTAGGACTAGCTCCCTCTCTCACCCAGCTTGTAACCCCCTACTACAAGCACTTCGGTGCAAAGAATACAAGATCGATCTCCTAGACTGGACGTAGGGCACCGATTGCCTGAACCAGTATAAATCTTGTGTCTCTTTGCATCACCATCCGAGATTAGGGGCACGCAGTTCACATTTACTGGTTGGTTGAGGACCTCCGGTCCGAAACACCGACAAGACTTGGAAGTTTAGGCACTTAGGATGACGACATCAATGAAATTTACTGTTCCTGAAGACAATGTATGATCAAATCCCATATAAATGATCGGGACTAAAGTAAGGTAATCTAGAATCTTCCATTACAGGAGAGGTGGATAACAAGCAAGTTGAAGTCGTTGTAAAAATGCGCATTCATCACTCTAGCACAAAACAAAAGGTGACGAAATGTTCCAAAGGAACTTGAAGACAATTCAATAATGCTATGCCAGCTTAACTGCTTTCATGAACCATGATAAGGAGAATTTGTGCATCAGTGCTGTGGTACTTGATAGTCTACACTCTACAGAGCTTACGAATCGCATGGCATTTAGGGGGGAAATTCTGATTTCCAAAAAAAAAAAAATCCCAGGTAGCATGGCACATAAAATTATTCATGGAGATTAATAACAAGTTATATGAATTAGTAATAAACACGCACATAATCTTCTAGATGTAGGCTAGCTAAAAAAGTAAAGGAAATATATATCCCTTTTGTTCTAAATTATTAGTCATTTTGATTTTTTAGATACATAGATTTTAATATGTATCTAGATATATAATACGTCTAATACGTACTAAAATATATATATATAGAAAACCAGAATAACTTACAATTTGATACGGAGGAAGTATTAGGATAAGAGAAACTCTTGATTACGTAAAGCGCAAGCGCAACTGAGGCCATAGATACTGTCCAGAAGCAACTGCAGTGCTAGATCTATCAACATCGACTGTATAATAATTAATAAAGGCCATGAGCCCATGATCCATCTCTTCAGATGCTCATGGGCATTGATGGCGACTAGGGGACGAACTGTTCTTTTTCAGACGAACTGGACTGGAAAAGATGCATTCGAGATTTGATGGAGCTGCTTACCATCCTGTCCATGGTGGATAGTAAAGGCGATGCATGCAGGATCCATCTTATCTGCAATTCTGCTTCTGCATGCTTCAATTCAACTGACCATATTTCTGCCTGCAAAAAAATAAGATTCAGAAGCATATCGTGTACCGATAACCAACTGCATTATTCAGTCACCAAAATAATTCAAAGTTCGACCATGAATCTTAATTCTCAATTCACGCGAAGATGAAGCATCCTCGCCACAGCTTGTAGGGGACTGCAAGGAATTTGACCCGCCCGAGGGGTGGCTGGAATGCGGCTACCCTCAAAATTGTCAACCTTGGCTCCAGCAGGTTCTGTGTTGCAAGGTTCTTGGAAACTATTGCCGTGGACGACGTCGACAATGATCGGTGTGTTTGGTTTGAGGAATGAGGTGCTCCGTCATCTTCTCTCTCCTCACTTTTTGTATTTGGTCTGTGGAATGGAATGAGTTGATCCATCACCACCTCATCTCTCACAAGTTAATAATTAGTATATGTATGAGGAATAAGTTGATCCCACCAAAATTCATAGGATGAACTCATGATGCATCACCTCATGACGCTTGGGGCGACTCCACAAAACAAACACACCGTATAACTGTCAGCCGTGGATCGGAGGTAACACCAGGTATGCATGGTGGCAATTAGAGTGGCAGCAGAAATGGTGAAGTTAAAATTTCAAATGAAGACGCACAAGTCGAGATATCACGTGTGCAATGATACTATCATCCGTAATGTGTTCTGAATAATCTTTGGCGCTTTGCTTCCAAGACTCTGTTCTACCTGCCTGCTATGTATTGCCTGAATAACTATTCTATTGGAGTTTACTGCAAGAGACGAGAAGACATCTTGTAATTTTTGTGCTTCGACATACAGTCCATGTATCATCTCCATCAAGTACATTCGAAGTTGTTCATTCCGTATCAAATCATTAAGTTACTTAATCTTCAAAATCATTAAGTTACTTTTTTTGCGATTAAATCATTAAGTTACTTTATATGTCCCAAGTTAAACTTCTCTAATTTTGAGCAAGCTCCATTTCCAATGTCTGATCATATTGATGTCAATGAAGAGGTATTGTATGGTGAATAGTCCCTTGAGGAGGAGGAGGAGGACTATTTTGAGTGTCACAGAGGGAACTCGACATTCTATGACTATTTTGAGTGTTCTGTGTATTGAATTGCATACACAGATCAATTCAGCCCTAAATTTAAAGGCCTGTTTGGTTTAGAGCCTCCTAGACAAATTCATCTTCAAGCATCAATTTCAGCCCCAGGTGTTCAAAATCGGTCGTCTGAGATGAGTGATGCTAGTCAAGGTTGCTTGGTTCAGAACCAAACATGCCCTAATAAGTTGATGGAAAGGCAAACAATTTACTTTATACAAATTAAGTTGCATGTACTGAAATATTTTACATAATAGCTTGTATTAGTCTTTATAAATATATTTCATGAGTATTTTAGGTTGTTTTTATGACAGCATAGATGGAAAATTTAGATACAAATTGAAGATATTACTTCAAATTATATTCCATAATGATGTATGTGCGTAAATTAGATCTAAACTGAGCATTATTTTTCCATTATCTTTCATAGTAGTATATGTGTAATTTAGATACAAATTTGGGTGGTTATTTTAAATTATATTAATTTAAATGCAGATTTTGTTGGTTATTTTAAATTATATTTAATAACAAGTAATTTAGATAAAAAATATGGAGTTTATTTTGTATTATCTTTCATAACAGTAAAGATGGATTTAGATGTAAATAGGGATTCTTTTAAATTATCTTTTATATTGACATGGTGACCTATAAGGGCACCCAAACAAAAAATGGGTCTCCGATAGTACTGTATCGACCTCCAACAGAGTACCTATACAAGAGACCAATTTTAGGTGCCAAGACAGGCACAACATAAATCTGAGTATCCTTTTTCCTGTAGACCCATTTGCAGAAAGGGTTCTCTTCTGGGTCTTGTTGTTGAAGAAGATCAAAAATAGGTATTGAACCCTTCGCCCCAAACATGGAATGGGTCTTTATTTTGGGTGCCGTTGTTGTAGTCTTATTTTATATATTTTCATAATGTAGAGGTGCATATTTTTTATAAAATTCAATAGATTCAATTGTTATTGTTGGCAACAATGATTAGAGTCTACCGAATAAAAGATCAGATGTTTCTGATCATTATAAGAATTTCTATTATTTATCTTTTTTCTTGCGTGCCTGATGACAATTATAACATTGAGGCTACATTTGGACTTTTAATTAGTAATAGTAAAATAAGATTGATAAAATTGTAGCATCATTCTAGTTGAATCTGGTATTTGGTTCCTGATTTCCTGCCTCGCTGCCGAAAATTGACAATTCTGGGCTTTGTTTTTGCTTATTTGGGCTGTGCCATGTGTAAACAGTGTAGGCTTATTTCTCGGACATATGATGAACAAGGTGAAGAACAAGTCACACAAAGGATACAGCACGATGGAATTGGCTCCCGCTAGTTCATATGCCAATTACAAGCAATCAAATTCATTTGAGATCACAAATCAAATTAAATCACATACATGAACACCTCGAGTTGGGTGTACAGAAATGCACGGTCGTCGACGTAGACATGATCGATCGTGCAGTTAATCAAGAGCATGAGAACCATTCCCCATCCCACCCTTGAACCTCGTCGCCGATACCGTCCATGCTGAAAAAAAAAATCAAAGAACAAGCAGCTGAAATGCATGTCGCAACTCATCATCATATCATAGGAATGAACTCACGAGGTCTTACTCTTACCACGGCAAGGTGACGTCTTCGCCGTCGTCGCTGCGACTGCGATCCACCTCGTAGCAGCAGCTGTAGTAGTCGCCGTCGTGGACGTGCATCATCGTCGCCGGGACGCCCCCCGTGACCGCTCCTTGCTCAGCGGCACCGACATCATCGTCGCCACAAAGCCACCGCCAATCCGCCGGCAAACCGGCCGCCGCCACGTCCTCCGCGTTTGGGGGCGCGCGTTGCCCGCTCTCGAAGATCTTGCTCCACCACGCGGCCACGTCCGCGGCCGCCGCCTCGCTGCACTCCACGCCCTGCATCTCGCCGCCGGTCGATGCCTGCTGCGCCATCATCTCCCCGCCGTCCAGCAGCACCGGGACAAAAGCCGCTGCTGCTGGCGCGTCGATCACCGAGTGCTTCTCGTTCTCTGCATCTGTTGCACTGAGCGCCGGTGACGGTGATCCATGACCACAGGCAGGGGTGGTCGCCGTCTCTATTGCCGGAGGTGAGTACGAGTACGAGGCTGCCGGTGATGGTTGGGTCAATGGAAGGCCAAGCAGATCTTCACAGTCGTCCTTGGCACCATCGTCCACAGAGACACCAAAACCTTGGAAGCTAAGGTTCAGTCCCAGCGGCTGTGCAGGCAGGCTGCGAACCAAACGCTCCAAGCCGCCTTGGTATTGGTAGTGCTCCAACTCCACCAATCCCCCCATGGCGGCAGTGGGTAGTGGCAGTTCAGGTGGCGTGAGATCACAAGGAAGACGAAGAATGGGTGGTGGTGAGCAGTAGCTACCGGCAGCAATCCAGTGCGCAGGTGGAGAGTTGCACAACGGGTTGTTGGCGAAGGAGGCGGCGGCGTAGCTCATCGTCGTATGCGCCAGAGTTGCTTCTTCGTCTACCGCCGCTTGGCTTCGATCATGAAACGCCACTTGCACTTGCACCTGCTGCTGCTCCTCTTCTTGTTGTTGTTGTTGGAGCTGCTGCAACGGTGGTTGATGCGGCGGCGGCTCGTGATGATGATGCTGGTACGTGGATTGCTGCTGATGCCTCGTGCTGCTGGCCCGGTGGATCTTGAGGGCGGTGACGATCTCCCGCCGCGCCTCCGCCATGTTGAGCAGCCTCTCCTGGTACGGCCTGCTCGTGTGCGTCCTCCTCCTCGCCTGCCTCTTCACCTGTGGCTTCACAGCCAGTGCTTGCAGCTGATCCATCTCCTGATGATGCGGCCGCAGCCGATGATGATGATGATCGTGTGGTATGGTATTATTGGTCATGGTGTTGATCGGTGATGGTCTTGTTGGGATCTTGCTGTGGATGATGAGGAGCTCAGATGCTTCACAAGGCTGCTAATGTAAGCCAAGCCCCAGCTGAGAGGTGTGGTTGTTCTTCTTGGTTTGTGCTGTTGTTCCTGAAAGAGGAGGAGAAAGGAGGTCAAGGAGTTGCAGCTAGTCTAGTCTGTGCCTGGATGAGTAGCTTGTCATCGTAAGCGCTGTGATCACTGATCAGGCTTCGTCTCCGCAGGAGTCGGGCCTCAGCTATGCACTATGACTGTAAGGCTATATGATGAGTGCGTCAGAACTAGAACCGTCCCAGTGGATGTTTCATACTGACACGTCAAGGATGAGGCGGCAAAGAAAATTTTAAAGATGAGAGAGAGTGAGTTTCGTCCTAGGCCTTGTTTAGCCTCCAAATTTTAAGTTTTTTCACTCTCTCTCCGTCACATCAATTTTTGACGCATGCATGGAGCATTAAATGTAGGTAAAAAAAATAACTAATTACACAGTTTGGTTGTAAATCACGAGATGGATCTTTTGAGCCTAGTTAGTCTATGATCGGACAAAGTTTGTCAAATACAAACAAAAGGTGCTATATTGTCCAGGTTACAAAAATTTGCAATCTAAACAAGACCCTAGTAAAACTGTAAAACTCGGCTGCCACTATTTCTGAGAGAATGAAACTGCACTGAGAGTCCAAGAGTCCAATGAGTTGGCCAATCTCATGCAACATTTTATCACAACATCATGCAATAATTAGTCATAGAGTGTTTGTCATGGCTTCGGCTCCAACAACCACTTCTGCATAGGAGCTATACAAAACACTTTTAGAGAGAAAAGCCGTTTTCTAATAAATAATAGAAGAGTCAGAGTCGTTGAGTCTGAAGAAGGAGGAACACACGTTCCTCAAGTGCATTAGCACCTCCGGAGGAGCACTTGAAGAGGAGACATATCAAACATGTCGTGTTATCTCATACATCAACCAAAATCAATTTACATAGGTACCTTGAAGAACACTTCAGCCTCTTTTTTTCTCCTACTAACAATGGACTGAGAAAGTGTTGGTAAGGTGAGGCCTACCAGGTGGTGTGAGCAAATGCCACATAGGAGTATATCGCGTCCTTCGTCCAAAAAAGAATGCAATTATCTAGCAGCTATACTAAAGTCAAAATATTTTGACTTTAACTATTTGTATATTAAAATTTTAATATTTATAACAAATAAATAGCATTAGATTTATCATGAGATATATTTTATAGTATATTTATTTGGTGTCATAAATATTAATTTTTTTGTCTATATATTTGGTTAAATTTTAGATACTTTGACAAAGAGTGTACTTAGAATTGTATTCTTTTTAGGATCGTAAGGTATATAGGCCTGTTCGGTTGATATTAAAGCCGGCTAAAGCTGTTTTGTTGTGAGAGAGAAATATTGTAGATTCTAGATGATAAGCCGGCTGATAGGGGTGCTATCCTTTGGGCGTTATGCCCGGCAAGAGCCAATGGGCATATGGCATAGTCATTCGTGGAGTAGGTAGCTAGTTTCTTAGACATTGACACATTGTGAATTTGTGATGTCGTTGGCTGACTGCACACAACGTCGCCTGAGTCATCTTTTCGGTACTCGAGTAACATTGACACTACCTTGGATTTCAATCACCCACACGTATGCCCTACCCAAAAGATTGATTTTGCTGGTGTGTTGTAACATTCAAAGATAGCTGATGAAACCGGCAAGACAGTGCATTTCTGACTGAAGAAAAAAAGTTCGTAACATTTGTGTGCAAGTGCAACTGAAAACTGAAAATGTGATGTACTGCTACTCGCATACAAGTGGCTAGCTAGCTAGGCATGCATTCCTTGACGTTCAATTCCACTTCATTTCATAGGGGAGAGTGATAAGCAGATGACGACACCAAGTGCCATGCCGGATGCCGCCGCGGCGGCAGTCCCTTCCATCCCTTGTAGTTGTAGGCTAAAGCTAGGCTAGCTGCTAGAGGGCGATTGGCATTGCAAGTAAGGGCAGAGCTAAAACAAATTTGAATGGGTGCGGTTAACTTGTAAGTGTATAGACTTTTAGGTCCTGTTTAAATGTTATCGGATTCACCTCAATCTGGAATTTAGATAGCGTTTGGTTCGCTTCCAGGTAACGTAATCCCTTTGCGACGGTAACTGTTTGCGTTAAATAGTGTTTGTTTCCGCCTCAGCAGCAATCAAATCCTGTGTAATCGGATACCGTGGTGTACAAATCGGATACCCCTCTCATCCTTGCATAATCGGATAGCACAGGACCACGCAGCACGGCACAGCACCCATCGTCTTCAACTCGCGAGTCGCGACTCGTTCCCTTCTCCGCTCGTCGAGGCCTTTCATGGCGGCTCTCCTCCAAAGCGCCGCAGCCCCGCCTCCACCCTCACCCCACCCCGCCTTCGTCGCCAACCGCGAGCGCGTAGCACCTGGTAAGGACGGCGACGGCGAGACTCTACTGCCTCGTTCATCCCCAAAGACGGATCTGCGACAACTGGTGGGCTTAGGGCGGCGGCAGTGCGAGCACAGGTGCGTCTCAACCAAAGGCTGGCAGCGCGGTGGTGGCTCTGCTGACGTTCTTACAGCTCTCATGGGACAAACCAGTTGCTTCGTGGATCATGCTAGGAGCTCTCGCAAAAGCTTCTGATTTTTTCGTTTACGTTACAGTGCAGAAACCAAAGAAAGTCTGTAATTTGTTACTTTGTTACCATTAACACTGCTTTCTGATTCCATTGGCGTTTGCGTTACAATTCCTAAACCAAACAACACCTTAGTTTAAGTTCCACTTTAATCCACCCAACACACGAATAATGATGTGAATTCGACTATATCTAAACAAGGTCTTACTAGGTATGCGCTATATAATAAGAATTGAATATAATCACTTTTTTTAATTTCTTTTCCCGTGGGTGTGTCTGGACCCATAACTGTATACATAGCTCCGCCCCTGTTTGCAAGTTGCAATTGCAATGTTCAGAGCTATACCTATGCGCCCCATTACATTCATTCAGATTTCAGAGCTGAACAAGCAAAAGACAAAGGCCACATTAACCATGAGTTTTTGAAGCTGGCAAAGACAGGACCGGCAAACGATCTATTCATGGGCCTGTTCGGCAGGACTGAAAAATACTGTTCCGGCTGATTGTTGTGAGAGAAAAATATTGTTCTGACAGGACGTGAACAGTGATTCTGTGAGAGGAAAAACAAGCCAGCCGGCTGGCTTTAAGCCAGCCGAACACGCCCAAACGACCATGATGATGAACACACGATAGGTCGGACCTAGTTCTGCGTTTTAGTACAAATGAAGGCAACGGAGAGAAGCTAGTGTCGCTAAAAATATTGCAGAGAAACATGTCATTTAGCTTATAACTTTAGTTTATTTTGATTATAAACAGCTTGCAAGCCGTAAGAAAGGCCGTATATATGTGGGTGTACGGTGCTAGGTCAACCAGTGACGGAAAGCATTGACAGCGATCTTGAAACATGCCAATCCAGTGACGAGAAGGACGAGTAAATTCATTTGACTGACAGCTCTTTTCGTCTCTAGGCTCTTGGCTACAATGCATAGGCCAAAACTAGGAGAGGGGCAGAGCAGTGTGATTGGTTCACATGGACGGTGGCGAGGCGCAGCATGTTCAATCTACAGAGCCTACGATAGGGCCTAGCCAGTAGCCTCCACTGGGTTGGGCTGGGGCTCAACCTAGGACACCTACCTGCATGGATCAGAGAGGATGGCAGCCAGGCAGGCTATTGTTCTTGTTCACAGTAGCTGTAGCCACTGTGAACCATATGCTCAGTGAGACAGTTACCCCGGATGAATGCAATGCTCTCCCACGAATTTCAGATGCTGTGTCGCCAGGGCTCAATGAAGATTTGGATGGAATATGATTCTCAATGGGCAAGCAAAACAATCAGCAGTAGCGCAATTTGGCAAGCCTTTTCAGAACTTTGAAGGCATTCTGTCCATCTATAGGCTAAGAGAAACTGAACATCCATTGCATGCTTGCATTAGAATCACAGATGAGATTCATCTTATTTGGGTTTTTTTTTCAGATCCAGGGGATTACGAGAAAAGAGTTCATTGGTATGCAAGGGCTACAAGAAAAGAGTTCATGCAGATGCACAATCATTTCAAATGAAGGTAAAGAGAGTGAGGTACAAAGAGGAGCATCACTGGTATGCGGTCATCAACCAAAACCAAGTACATGAACTTGAGCACTATTGCCATAAATACTCCAAAAATTGGCTGAAACATACATCGAAGATATGTGTGGCGCAGTCACTAGTAAATAAGGCGAAGTTTCAGAAAACTCGATGAAGTTTTCTAAACAAAAGAGAGATACACTCATCACACTTAACAAGTGACTTGCGTGTGCCTTGAACAAGTGTTTCCATGCTCTAATTGGCAAAATTACCATATATCTTGAATTTGTGATATATGTGAACCAAGAAACAAGTTGAGAGGGAGATACAGATATATCACAAAAACAATGAAAAAAATACATGAGTTCTAGGCCAGTTGAAAGAACAGATTGCAAAAGATCTTTAAGTCCAACTCTACACAGGAGGTAAAGAATATTAAGAAAAAGAATAATCAAACAGCAACAATGGAGTGCTCAACTGGCAGCTTATATGAATTGCCATAGATACACAATATATATAATCACAAGCTAGCAGCGTCCGCATACCACCCTGAAAATTTGATACTCATACCTAACTTCAGAAGATATTTTATACACTCGACCTCTGGTGTCTTTTGAGGATCACCTGAGTCTGGCATCACCTCCCTTGCTTCGGAATGTTGACAGGGAGAAGAAAGAACGTGGCGCTGCATTTTTGGGGATAACACATTTTAGAGAAGATTGCGACTTCGAGAATAATAAGTAATAAGTTTGTGGGAAATACATGAGAATAAGTAAGAAGAACCAAGATCTTCACATTATAGGCATTTAATGAGCAACTTAACATAAG